CCCCCTGGCTCTGCCCGTGGCAGACGCAGGTGCCATTGTCGCCGCGCCGTCCGCGCCATCCGCCTGTCTACCTGCGCGGGCGCGCAGCGCGAGAGACAGTACGGCGGGCGGCACACGACTTGCTGTCTAGCAGCACTCGACGTATGCGTGCGCTCATGCGGGAGCATACTCTGAGGCACTGTACTGGTGTAGTGGCGGGGGCTCGCAGGACTCAGGGCTCGCAGAGCAGCCGCCGGGACCACGCGTCACGGCGCTCCCCAGGCGCTCCCCGACGGGTAGCCCAGGTGTGGAGCAGCTGCGCCGCGGGCACGTGCTCCACCAGGGGCTGCACCCCTCCGAGGGGGCCCGAGTGGTGCGGATATCCTCCCCGCCCTCCCCTGCCGCCGTCCGTGCGGAGGGCTTTAGGGACGCGCCCTCGCGACGCGCCCGCCCCCAGACACCATTTGCACCGGAAGTGGAAAGAAGTAGTTGTCGTGCGCGCGGAGCGGGGTGGGCGCTGTGCGTGCGCTGTGCGTGCGGGGCGGGCTGCCGCGCCGCCTCCGCCTTGAGCTGCAGTGCCGGTCCCGTTAGCGTGTCGCCGGGCGCCCCCTTTCCCCTTTCCCTTCCCCTCCCCGCTGGGCGCCACAATGACACCTCATCTGCGCTACGCCCCGCCGCGCCGCGCCGCCCGTCAGCCGTCCCAGCGGCGGAGAGACACGGCGCAGCAGTGCAGTCGCGAATGCCAACCCAACCCGCGGCGTGGCACCTGCACTCAGCCTTGGCTGACTGGCCCCGCGTGGCCTTCCCCGGCCACCTGGAACACCTGGCGCTGCTGGCGCTGCTGGCGCTGCTGGCGCGGCGGTGCAGGCGGTGCCAGGTAGCGCTGCCTGTGGCTGCCGTCCTGGAGGACCAGACGCCCACACCCTCGCCCCCGCCCCCATTACCTCACGCAGGCTACGCGGGCCGGGCGGGGCCGGGCGGGGCAGGTGTGTTTGTAGACGTGGTGGCGGGGCCCGTGAGTGCGTGCGTGTGTATTTTTAAAACGGCCGAACTCGCCGCCGCTCTGGTCTACGCTGTTAACAGCACAGCCGTATTACGGCCACAGACGTGCCGTCGCTGTAAGCCTGTGGGAGTCCCTCTGGTCGCACGCCATGCGCCTGTTCACTGCACCTGGCTGGACACGGGCGTCACATCCTCTTGCGTGACGGCGTCGGCGTCGACACAAAACACCAAACGCACACCACGGCAACCGTCGCCGTCGGTGCGCGAAAGTATCGCGCTGGCCGTAGTTCGCTTTTCTAGAATCAGAATCATCGTCAACTCTCATGAATCCGATTCGCACAATCCCCTGTGGCCGCTCAGGGCGCCGGCCGCCGGCCTGGTGCCGGCCTGGTGCCGCCCACGCCCTGCTGCGCCCACGGCCGAGCCAGGATCTCTTTGTGGAGGGAGGATTCGGCGCGATCAGCCGCGGCACCACGCAGCACAGCCTTCATGGCGGCCCGATTTGGCCGCGGCGATCGGGTGGTTTGAGGCCAGTGCCCCTCCTCTCCCCTCCTCCTCTACAGTAGCGGCCGTCCCTCCCGTCCGACCCTCGCCCGCGCACGGCCATCAGAGAGAACCGAGGAATGGATGTGTTGTCTTCAATCAGTCTGGCTTGTCCGTCAAAGGGCCCGGCTCTGGCCTGCCGGCCCTCGCCCGCATATCTCACGACTCTAATTAACATTCCCCTCCCGTTGTGCCCCCGGACCATAGTCGCTCTCTTCCTCTCGGTGTTGCGCCCGCCGCCAGGCTCCGGCCCATGTGACAGCCGCTCACAGCGCAACAACCCCTTTCCGCACGTTCGGCTCCCGTATAGGTGCGCGGTCTGCGGCCTAGAGAACCATCTGCCCCTTTGCACCGTGCTTGGACCTTAGCCCAGGCCGCACCGCCCCGCCGCCGCCCGCCCCGCCCACGCTTGGCATTCAACCCAGATTTGGGGCAACGCCGGCCGCGCTAACGTTTGGGCCGTCGGGCCGCATTGGCAAGGCAAAGCCACTCGAGAGCCGGCCGCACAACGCAGCTCGCCTTCTTATTGATCCTCGGAGACTTAGATGCAGATTTATTTGGCACACAATTGTTATCATGTACAATTTGCTAGTTTCCACTCCACAATGTTCTCCAAGGAGTAAGAACAAAGTTTTCTCGGCTATACGAGGACATAGACGTTACGTGACTGGTGCAGCTTTACTCATGATCAGCGTGGCCGGCGCCCTGCCCGCGTCGCCCCGGCCCGTCCCGCCCTCCACCTGTTGAGCCGCGAGCCGGCAGCGCGACCGGCGCGACCTTCCCGACGGGGAGTGTCCTTGCGCCGCGAGGGATGTGGCAACGCGTCGTGTCGTCGTGGACGCATTCCCGGCGGCAGGACAACCGGAGGAGGACAGGGCAGGCCCTGCCCTGGACCAAACCGGGCGGACGGACGAGCGGGCTGGCTCGCCGATGTCCGTTGTCCGTGGTCCTGCCCCGTGTCCTGCCCGCCAAGGCGTGTATGTCGACCTTGCCCTGCCGCGGACACCCCCGCCCCCCCCTTCTCGCCCCGCCCCTCCGCGCTCATGCGCCGCTACCCACGTTGCCCCGGCACTGTGTCCAAATACGGCGTCCCGCGCGTTGGCCGGAGCTTGCCGGAGTCTGCCCCCCCCCCCCTCTCTTTCGGTGTCACCGCCCTGCCGAGAACGCCTCGCTTGTCCTGACGGTCCTGTCGGTTCTGACGGCCAAAGTGCTGCTCGCTGCCCTCGACCCGGACCAGCACAGCCCAGCCCATCGGAACACAAAAAGCGCAGCAGGCTGTGGCGGGCGAGGCCGCGCGGCTTTGGTCCTGCGGCCCGGGGGTCACTGGGATCCCCCGTACGTGGCAGCGCCGCGCCGGCACCCTTCCGGGGTCACCGCGGCGACGCGTGCGTGGAGGAAGAGGAGACGGGCGTAGTGAATGTGGTGGGGCGGGGCGGGGCGCGGCGGACTCAGACCACTGTTGGCCCCGCCGCGCGCCGTTATCATCCGAGGATGCCGTCACGTCCGGGATAGGACTCAGTGTGCAGACGTACACGGAGAAAAACAAAACGAAAAGACGAGATGAAGGCAAAAGGGAGGGGAAGGGTTGCGGCGGCGGAGCGCTGCGACCGCCGATGATGAGAAATAACGCGGTCAGGAGACGGGATGCCTTCGTCTTCCAGACGGCAGGACAAAAGGCTGATAAATTCGGCTCGTTTTTGATGCCGTGCGATTTCGTTATTAAGTTTCTTCGGTTGCGGTTGGCGGTCCTGACGATGGCACGACGGCGCTCTCTCAAACGATCTCTGCCTTGTGCTGCAGGTGAGCTTGGCGGCCGCGGCCCGGCACTGAGGTGAGGCGGCTGTGCGGCTGTGTTATAACCAACAAATACGGAACCTCCCACAAATAAATAACCTCGAGGCAGTGCGGCGACTGCGGCGGGGCGGGGCGGGGCGGCCGGAGAGGAGGAATGCGGGGGAAAGCACGGTGCGGGGCCGTGGAGATGATGGGGTCGGGGCGGCGTGAGAAGACCGCCGCCACCTTATTAGTGTAGGTGTGAAGACACGGGTCCGACTGTACGGACAGGACAGCGCGGCGGA